GAAAGCTGTTAAACGATTCTCTTTCCACCTGCCTTGTCTTATTTCCAGGAAGAAAAAAATGTGGAATTTCTGTTGAATCCCACATTTGCCCCCACCCAATGTGCCAACGCACGCCACCCGCCAAGGCGCCAAGACCTAAGGAACCCCCTCCCCAAGCTGAGGCATCCCTCCACACGCGAAAAAGGAAGGGTCCGAGCTCTCTCTCTCTCTCACCGGCCACAATCCACACAAACAAAAGGGGCGCGAGAATTCGTTCCTTCGGGGAATCCTACAAAGACAGACGAACAAGGCTTCGCAGAACACAGATTCCACAATCGTATAGTGATCGTATCTTTCCTAAGGCCATAAACCTCCAAAACCTACACGTTTCTGGTTGGTCTAATGAAGTTATCATTATAATAGCAAGGATTTCTCCAGATTTATCTCCTTTTTGCTTCCCATTTTTCCTTCAGCTCTGGGTTTGAATCCCAGAATATGACTCCGGTACTTTAAAATCTCTATCCAAGGTGGCCCCCTCTTGTCTGCCTCTCTCGGCTTTGCATAGGAGTTTCCCTTCCTCCCTTATTCTCATCTTTAGAACAGCAGGGCTGGAAGGGGCCCCGTGAGATCATCCAGTCCAACCTCTGTCAAGGAGGCACCAATGGGGGGGGGGAGATCGAACTCCCAACCTCTGGCTTCCACAGTTAGAGACCTTAAACCACAGAGCTATTTTCTCACCAAGATTGCGCCATACTTCAGCGTTCCCCCTGGACTCCCTCTTTCAAGACCAAGCAAATTTGCGAACCTTCGCCGTCCTCCCAGCTGTGGACAGGAGCCAGTCAGTGGAGAAACCTGAGTAAGCCTTTTCGAGGAAGGCCCAGAAGCCGGCGAAAGCACCCGCATGAATAGCAAAGAGGGTTTCCAGCCGATGTCACCATCGTTTTGCTCTCCGGCATTTCAGCCACGAATCAATCAAACGCAAAGACATCTGCATACGGCGGAGGTTCTTAAAGGCAGATGTTGATTATGTAAGCAGAAGCATAACCTGCAATCTCTGATAAGTTTGGGGAAGCCATGTTAACCGAGCATTCCTAACTCAACACGGAGTTATTGAGTGGGAAGGGGGCCTCCGAGGCCATCCAGTTCAACCCCCCGGCTCATGGCAGGAATCCAAATCAAATCAGATCGGACGGAGAGGGGTCCCATTTCCTCTTGAAGGCCTCCAAGGCTGAAGTTCTCACCACCTCCCCCCGGGGGTCATGGGTTCCGTTGTCATACTGCTCTAACAGTCAGGACATTTTTTCCTGATGTTCAACCGAAATCTGGCTTCCTGTCGCTTGAGCCCACCAAGACATGTCCCGTACTCTGGGATGACCGGAACATCCCACCTCATGATTTTGGACTTTTTGCTCACTGTCAAACTTCACCAGCTCATGGGGAAACATTCTCGCCCCCCTCCCGGTTCTTTTTTTCACCTGCTTTAGCAATTAAACTTCCCACCTTCGTAAGGAAGGATATTTATTCTCCACGCGGCTGCCAGTGTTGTCCTGTGCCAGACACAGGGCCTAGGGGTCATCCTCGTTGTGCGCCATCAAGAGACACCCAAGCATGGCAAAACTACCAACGCTCTCCCATCAACACCACCCTGTTTTAGAAGGGGGGGAAGACTTCTCAAGTAGCGGCGCCCAATCCACCCACCCATCCATCTCATGAAAACTCTATAAAACAGTGGTACCCAACCTTGGGTCTCCAGATGTTCTTGGACTACAACTCCCAGAAATCCTGCCAACGCAGCCGAAGGTGAAGGCTTCTGGGAGTTGCAGTCCAAGAACATCTAAAACATTACAGCCCGTGGCGTGGTCTATTAAGCTCCCTGGACATTACATGGAATATGTTAATAAAGCTGGACAGAGGAAGGTAGCTGTTGCAGGTGGAATACTCTGCACGCTTATCATCGCATGCCCTCTCAGGTTGACTTCTTGCAACATGGATTCATCCACCCAGAGAAATGACTCCAAGCGGCCGCTCCCGCACGAAACCCACAACTGGAGCACGCCGTCCGAGAGCACGCCGTCCGATAGACCCCACTTTATCCAAACGTGTTTCGTCCAGCCTCTAGCGACATTCCCCAAAAAATCAAAATAATGTTACAAAAAGAAAGCCATTTTTAAAAAAAGCCACAGCCTTGTAAAAAACCAGCCTTCCAAATGTTGGCAAAGTTTAAAATGGCATCTGAAAAAAGTCTGGGAGTTTTATAAAGAGGTCTGCGCTCAGAACATAAGGGGGATGATGTCGGGAATCCTCCTGGGAAAGATTCCCATTTTCCAGAGCTGGGAAGGATTCTTTTTTTCTTTCTTTTTGGATGCCGCCTTCCCGAATCCAGAATCCTCAGGGGAGTTCAAATCCTAAACACGAACCATTCCAGTTTGTACCTCTTTCTTACGGGCCTGTTTAAAATAACCGACCTCACTATGAGTCATGGGGTCTCCTCCTCTTCCTTTTCCGTCTTGGAAGAGCAAATTAATTTTAGGCGAAATGCCACCTTTTAATTCCAAAACGAACAGTAATTAAGAATGCCCAAGTTAAGCCGGAAAGGATGCTTTGACATCGGAAGGGGGAAACAGAAGAGATCAGGGCTTCTCAGAGAGTACCAATGCAAATTCGTTTGCTGGTCCCCCTCTGTACCCCCCTCCAACTCCCCCACCCCCACCCCTGATCACAAGGTGCTGATCCCCCAAAAGGCATCTTATCCGAAAGGCGCCCCAACGTTTCACCCTCCTGGCGCCCTTCCTTGCTGCCCCTCTTTATGCCATGCAGGACAGTAAATACCTCTCCGTGGGGGGGGGTCGAGCGGAGGCTACGCGTGCGGTGGGGTTTTGGGGTGTTTGTGTGAGCGGATGGGGGAGCATCACGGACAGGAGGAGCGGGACCCAAGCCATGCAGCACACGGGCGCCCCCACATACCAGCACAAACGGACCAAGCCACAGGCTGCCTGCACACTCTGCTTTGGACGGACCGAAACCTCAGAAGGTGATGGGAAGCGTCACGAATCTTCACGGCGTCCACAAGGCGGATGGGCTGGCTGGGGCAGGTCACGAGGGATCCCATAACCCACTCACCCCTGTTCCAGCAGCTCCACGGGCTGCCGCTTCATTTCCAGGCACCGTTCAAAGTGCAGGCGCTAACAGATAAAGCCCTCAATGGCCTGGGCCCAAGCAATCTCAATGATGACCCTGCGCAGGTGTTAAGATCCGCAGGAGAGGCCTTTCTCTCGGTCCCATCATCCTCACAGGTGCCTCTGAGGGCCTTCTCTGTGGCTGCTCCTTTAGACTCTGGAACTCCCTGCCACTGGAGGCCCAGCTGGCCCCTTCTTTGCTCTCCTTTCGCAAGCAGGCAAAATACCTTTCTCTTAGTGACTAACCATCTAGAAGAGGTTTTAAAACGAGACGGTTTGCATTTTGCAAAGACCTTTATCTTCAGGAAAGCTTTCCTTGAGTGACTGTTTGACTAAGTGGTTTTTTTTTTAAATAGATGTACTGCTTTGAATGTATTTTGGTGTTTCTTATGTTTCTTAGTATCATAATCATTTGATCCTTTTAGTATTGTACACTCGCTGTTGTTAGCTTAAACACTGCCTTTTAATGGACATAAGCTGCCTTGGGTCCTTTTTAAGAAGGACGGTGGAATAATAATATTCCTAATAAATAAATAGATCGCTCACAGGGCCGTATCCTGTGCACGTACCAGATCTGGGAGAGAAGCAATCACATTAGGCAAAGCCCTTTCTGCCCATCCAGTTTTAGCTGGCTTAGGTTTTCTTGATCCACCCTGGAACACATGCATCCCTTAAAATGGTTTCCAGCCCATAAAAGCTTAAGCACAATAAAACTTACCAGTCTTTAAGGTCGGATGGGAGGAAAAAGTAAAGCAGGGGCCTGTTGCAGGATTTTTGGGGCAGGCTCTCCTTTAAGGAGACAGATGCTAGGATCCGACCTCCAGTGGCTGTGGTGTGTTGCTACATGAATGGGTTAGGGCAAGAGGATCCATCCAGGGCTCAGAGACACTCCCCCCCAAAAAAAAACACCCTTGTGGATCACAAACAGACACAGCAGCAAACAGAAAAGCGAAAACATCACCCACAAATTTCACACCTTTTGGGCTGTTCAGATAAATTCAGTTTGGACCCAAAAAAGTGTGCATGCGCTCGGAAAGGCGAAAAAGTTGTGCACTATGTCTATCTGCTGGCTTCCAGAAAGCACATAAAAGATTACACACAAAGACGGGGGGCCCCTACCTAATGGCTGACGTCCTCTGTGAACCCGTGTTCCAGCATGCACGCCCCCATGCGCAGGCACACAACACTTACTTCAAAAGAGCTTGCCATAACAACAACCTTGCGCTGAGTCACCATCGTTGGCTTCACGAGGGGAGGGAGACGCAGAGACGCACAAGCTGCGAAACACAGGCGCACACAGCTGTCTAAGCGCAAAGGGCGATCCCACACACAGCAGCGACAACGGGCCACGCCACCGAGGCTTTGGATGATTCCCCGGACCCTGCTGAAGTATCGCGGGACGACCGCATGCAACCACGGACAACAAAAAAGGACACACCCGGGCAATAATCCCGCACACGCCAGGGCAAGGCGCAAAGGGCGATCCCACACACAGCAGCGACAACGACAACGGCCACCGAGGCTTTGGATGATTCCCCGGACCCTGCTGAAGTATCGCGGGACGACCGCATGCAACCACGGACAACAAAAAAGGACACACCCGGGCAATAATCCCGCACACGCCCCCCCAGGGCAAGCTGTGCCTTACACACACACAAACACGGACGTGGGAATGCTGGGAGAGACAGGCACGTGCTGCCACGGGAAGGGCAGGCCACGGGTGGGTGCGGGTGTGGCGAAGGGAGGGTGTGGCAGGGACGGGCGGGGCCCGGTGCGCCCGAAGGCGTCGGCAGGACAAGGTCCCCCTCTCCTGGCCGGGGCACCCGCTCCTCCCCCCCTTCCTACCTTCATGGGGGAGATGTGCGAGTGAGACACGTAGCCGTGGACGCTCTCGATCTGGGATAGGTTCTTCTCCGCCACGTGGACCAGCTCGGGGGCCTTTACCTGGTTGGGAAGGTGGGCAGGGCTATGCTCCAACGGAGGGCTGTCTTCATCTTGGTAACGATATTTCTGAAACGGAAGAAGCAAAGCATCAAGGGCCACGCCGTGGCACGCCCCCATTCCCCATACCCGCTCTGCCCAGGGAGGATGCTGTGGGAGCCACCAGGTCACTGGCCCACGTGATCCCAAAGGAAGGACACACACACACACACACACGTTCAAGGTCCCTGGTTTTCTCGCTCCTTTTTCTCCTTTAAGGGCCTGTAGAGTCTCAGTAACTCACTCTGAGACGTTCACAGTAGTAAGAATAAAAGGTTTCATTTACTTACAGTTGAACCGATCTACAGCAAAGCTAACACACATAACTGCTTTCTGCCACGGGCCTCAACGGACAACAGCTTTTCCAACAGGCAAAAGAGAGGGGAAAAGCTCAAAAGGAGAGAGGCGGGGCTTGCTCAGGCAAGGAAGGGATGATTGGTTAGTGCTGGACAGATGGACAGCCATGCCAGCCCAGAAAGGTTCCCTCCCAGCCAGAGGCAGCACACAAACACACATTCCTTTAGTCTAGAATAAAGGGCAAAGCACAACAGAGGCCGGTTAGCTTTCTCTGGACCATTTTTTTAAAAAGACAGCAAGAAGAACAGGGAACTGATTTCACCCAGAAAAATTTTAGGCAGAGCTTGAAGACGTTAGCCTTTGAGACGACGACTCCCCATCTCTGTCAATCTCTCCAGCATGAACCAATCATTCCTTCCCTGCCTCTGGATTCAAAGCAAGCCCCGCCTCTCTCCTTTTGAGCTTTTTCCCCCTCTCTCTTTTTTTTTCCTGTTGGAAAAACAGTCTGCAGTCTGTTGAGGCCCGTGGCAGAGAGCCGTTATGTGTGTTCGTTTTGCTGTCGATCTGTCGACTGTAAATACATGAAGTCTTTTATTCTTATTACTCTTTATGTCTCAGAGGGGGTTGTTGAGACTGTAAGTGCTAGTTGATGAGAAAAGGGGGTGAGGAAACAGGGGAACATGCAGCTATTCTGCTCTGTGAATCCCTGCGCTTCTGCTCTGCAGTTAGAGGACTTTGACCGAGAAACTCAAAACACTATTCTGCTCTGTGAATCCCTGCGCTTCTTTCTGCTCTGCAGTTAGAGGACTTTGACTGAGAAACTCAAAACTCTGCAAGAGAAACTACAAACCCACTTCCACAACAGAAGCCGTTCAGCCCTGCCAGCTCCAAGCCCACGGAGGTAACCTACCCAAACTCTGGTTAAAATATGTGCAACGGGAAGAGGCCAGACCCTTAGCCTTCTTTTCTATCCAGCTTAGGGTACTGAGGGAAGCAGCTGGGTTCGCTCGCTTGAAAAAGCCTCAAATGTCGAGTTTCGTAGGAGAGAAACCACAGGTATGGGAAAACGTAACCTTTTTCGACTACAACTCCCAGAATCCCCAAGCCAGCATAGTGAGTATTGCAGTCTGAAAAAGAAGCATTTCCAAGCCCCGGGAAGCAGCGTGAGAGTTTGAAGTTTAGCTCTGTGGGAGAGCGCAAGCTTTCCACGTTCGAGACACACAATAACTCCAGTGTGGGGTGTTTTTTTTTCCGCACCCCGTCTCACTAACAAGAATCAAGTGATATGGAAAAGTCTGGAGATCCTGCACAGCCAGGGTGACTGAACAGGAGGCAACCCTGAGGCAGAGGGAGAACTATCCCAGCGTGGTCTAACCCCCTAGCTCAAGGGTTCAGGTCTCCGGCTGTGGAGAGTTCGATTCCCCCGTGGCGCCTCTTTGACACGGGCTGGACTTGATGACCCCACAGGGTCCCTTCCAGCACCAAAGTTCTCCTCTTATCTCAGGTTCAAAGGGTCCCTGACAGGCACAGACTGTAGACCACGGGAAATGAACGGCGATGCTGGAATAAAGGTCTTCTCCCTCCCTGCCCTGGGCTCCCCGCTCAGCTGCCGATTCCATTAGACTCAAGAGGATTCACGTGGGATCCCACGCCTGGCCTTTGGAAAGGAGGGGATCTCTAGGGCCGGAACCGTCCCTGCGCTGGGCAGGCAACAGACGGAGAAGCTGGAACAGAGACACCAGCCCCAGGCCCTCCCTCCCCAAGCCCCGGGAGGCAGAAAACGGGGGATGGCTGGACATCAGCCGGCACGCTAAGCCACGATCCGAGATCAGAACTCGGCCGGAAACTGTTCAGGACCCACACAATCAGAATTTAATGGTGTGGTAACATCGAGAGACAGCCTGAGTCCCTCATCAGAACAAAGGAGAGTACAAATTAATAAATAAAGTGAATAAATAAATATGGGGATTCCACTGATGTTGAGAACACGCTAGCTCCCCTCTACTCTCCCTTCAACTCTCTCTTTCTTGCATACACACATACAAAAGGACCCCACTATTCACGGGATCAGTATCTGCTGATCCACTTATCCGTTGTTTTAAATAAAAAAAACTCAGAAACACATATTTATATATACTGTATTTTCCCGTGTATAAGACACGCCTCCCCCCGCTTTTCTAATCCAAAATTAAGAAATCTAAGCGGGGCATAGCAAGCGTAGGAGAAAAGGGATCGACGCGCTGCAGGATCGCTTTGATCCCTGCTTCCCCCTCCACTTGTTTTTGTCCTCGCCTTAGGTTGCTTCCATGTATAAGACGATCCTCAATTTTTAGTCTAAAAGATTTTAGATAAAAGTATAGTCTTATACACAGAAAAATACAGGTATTTCCAAGGTGTATTTACAAGAACTGGCCATGAGATGGAGCTAGAGACCACGCAATACAGTATCTAGCGTTCCTGATTTCCACATTTTTTGGCACCAACAATCCCCTAGTATTTGTATTCTACACAATTAAAAGCTGATAAGACATTGACATTGTCTATCTGCATTATATTTTGCTGTGGGACAACTTTCACTGTCTCCCCGATGGCTTCGGCACCTCTGTGCATCCTTTACAGGCACCTCACAAACGTTCGCCTCAATGTTGGGTCCACGGACCTCGGAAAATCCTTTCCTCGGTCTGGTTTAGCCCTACCGTGCTTCGTCCCCACCTGGGACAGCATCAGATCTCTGCTAAAGAAGAGTGCCTCTTAGCATGTGCAAAGTTCCCCCCTCTTGGTTTCCTATACCCTCACACAACTCCTTTCATTCCAGCACTGTAACCACTAAGCCCCACTGCTACAGCAGCAAGCAAACCTATGGTTCAGTAGAGTTGCAGCAGGCGGGGGGGAGGGAGCAGTTTGGAAGAAATGTCCTTTCTCTCCCCACCAGTCAGCTCGCCTTCTTGATTCCTGACTCCCCTCTCCTTTTATCTCTCTTTCTCAGGATGTGCAAAAAAAAAAGGAGGGGGAGAAAATTAATCAAGGCTATTGTTCCCGTCTGAATCCTCTAGAGCAAAAGAGGCGCCGAAGCCTTTACGGAGCCACGATCCACCTGGGAGTTTTAAAATGCACATTTGCCTGGAAACAAGGAACCACGGTGAAGAAACTGGGAGCGGGAGGGAGCTGCCGAGGGAAGATTTAATTTGGAGAAAATAAGACGCACCGCTTTGTGAGAGTAGCCCCCAACTGGGATGGTGGGGGCGTGAGTGCCACCAACGAGCTATACAGTAGTCGGAGAAGTTACAGTTCTGGACTACAAGTTCCAGGATCCCCATAGGTGGGTAGCAAGGGCCAAGTCAGCTGGAAGATTCTGGGAGCTGTTGTTAAAAATTATTTATCTGTATAGCGTCCGACACAGTGAGAAGCAGTCCTTTGGATGGTTGCCAATAAAAGAAAGACATGATTTTTAGAGAGCATCTCTAAACTGACATGCCACCACGAATCGACCATTAGACAATGCAAATTACCCATGAATCAGGCCCTATCTAAGATGGCAGGAACAGGCAATTCAGATACATAAACGAATGGTGAGGGGGGGGGTTATGTCTTTAAAAGTCTGTCTGAAGAGCATGGCCTTTAACACCCTCGTGAAATTTGGGTGACGGGGGGGCTGAGAAAGCACCAAGGGGCCACCACCAAGAAGGCTTGACTTTGTGGAATTCTTCCCTGCCTCTGATGGGTCTGGACTTGATGATCCAGAGGGTCCCCCTTCTGGCTCCACGGTTTTAAGATCCCACACTCTGCTCTCAGGTTCCCAATTCAAATCTCCTGACCTCTCCCCCCTCACCTCCCACCCCACCCCAAGATCTGCCAGTTGACATGAAGGACATTCACAGAAGTAAAAACTCTGCTGACGCAGCGGTTCCGTTGCAAAAAGTGCCGGATGAAGCAAAAACGACGGACGGACGTGTTTCTGCGCGAGTCAGAACAGGGTGGCTTTGAGTAGCCTTTGGAAGATTTCCATCACTATTTCAAAAGCACCCACCACCACCTCTTCCACCTCCAGAGCTGGGATAAGTTACTTTTCCTGCGCCACAATGCCCAGAATCTTCTGGTGCGCACCGCCTAAAATCTGGGATGGCCAGAAGCAGTTCGGCTTCTCTGAGTATGTGGAACCTCCATGATCAGCTGCAGAATACCTCTGCATACCAGTTGCCGAGGAGGATCAGACTAGAAGCGTTCCTCCCTTCCCATCTGTCTCCCTGAAGGCACCGAAGAAGCTTCTCGGTGCTACCTTGTGGGCTCCTTGTTAGACAAAAATCAATCAATCAGAGCAAAGGTTTCTTCTCAGTCAGCCTCTTGGTTCCCCGGCCTACGTATTGCTCCCGAAAGGTGAGAACCAAGACCGGCCGGTTTCTGGAGCAGGAGAGGGTTTATAGAAGAGTTCCTGGCCCGTCGGGAGAGCCGGCCTGAGAGCCGATCCGACTCCCGGGAAAGCCTGCAGGGTGGCAGAAGAAGCGGGCGGAAATCTCCGGGTTGCCGACCAGCAAGCAAGAGTCCCATGGATGGAACCACCCCTCTTCTCTGTCCTTCCAGATCATTTTATCTGCATCCATGATTTTTTTTAAAAGAAGAGGTTGGAATTCTCCAAGCAGGGGAAGCCCGGTTCAAGCTTCCCCCGTGCGTTACCTCTCCCTCTGGGGATAGTCCTCCAAAATATTTTATTCCAGTGCTCAACCAACCCACGGCAGGCCACCAACTAAGTCAATTATAGTCTCATCTGCTCCCTCTTTGGGGTCAAA